CTCTAACATGACAAAGTCTACACCACCTCTCCGAGTCCTCTCCATAACTTCTAACTGGGAACCAGTTCAGCCAAACTCTGTCTGTTCAGGTGTTTTGGACAAATGCCAAAACTTTTCCTATTTTGCCCCATTGGGGGGAACCAAGCATCATATGTAGAAGTAGTATTTCTGAAGGAGCTCAAACCCCAGGACCACTCAGTGGCCTCCTGACCAGAATAGTTGGAGCTAGTCACTAGTCCTAAACCAGGGATAAAATATCCCACATACTCAGGGTCATCATTGGGCACTAATATAATAGAGAAAAACAAACAGAGTGCATGACCTTAAAAAATGTTTAAAGAATGTCGATAATACGTATTGTACTCACAAATGATCAATAAATAAAAGGCACATCATAAAGGAACAGCTCTGTCGGATTCACACTGCGTGTCTGTCTGTAGTGAGAACTCTGGACATCCAAAAAGACTGACGCGTTTCGAGGGCTAGCCTCTTCCTCAGAGACAAATGACTAGATGTCTGTCTCTCTCTCTTATATATGCTCACTAATGAATCTTCAATGGTTAAAAGGGGCCGTCCTTACGGCTCACAGGGGCGGGGAGTAATGGGATAAAAAATGCTGACATAATGAATCCGACAGAGCTGTTCCTTTATGGTGTGCCTTTTATTTATTGATCATTTGTGAGAACAATACTTACTAATTATTTACATTCATTAAACATTTTTTAAGGTAATGCACTGGGCCGGTGCGCCCTCTGTTTGTTTTTCTCTGTTCAGTACTTTGGACTCCCCCTGGTCATTTGAGGGCAGCAAGACGTGCATATCCAAAGAATTTCCATATGTGGTCCTAATGACATTGAGTCCATCCCCAAGCACAGGAGTAACTGGGCTTTCCACTTCTACACGGCACTATTATAATGTCCTGTATGCTCACCCTACAAGAACATGAGGAGCCTCCAACATGACAAAGTCTATACCACCACACTGAGCCCTCTCCTAAATGTTTAACTAGGAACCAGTTCTGGCCAAACTTACCTGTTCAGGTGTTGGACAAATGCCTAAACGTTTGCCTGTCTGGCCCTCATTGGGTGGGAACCAAGCATCATATATACAGTAGAAGTATTATTTCTATCGTCTCTTGAGGAGCTCAAACCCCGGGACCACTCAGTGGCTTCCCAAACCAGTCTAGCTGGAGCTAATCGCATCCCAAACCAGAGATTAGATATCCCACATGCTCAGGGCCATCACAGTAGGCACTAACACAATGTCCCTACAGGAACACGAGGAGCCTCCAACATGACAAAGACTACACCACCACTCCGAGCCCTCTCCATATCTTTTAAATGGAAGCTGAATTGTGGCTGTTCATGTGTTTTGCCTGAACATTTGCCCATCCGGCCCCTATGGGAGCCAAGCATCATATATAGAAGTAATATTTCTGCCGACTTTTGCTGGTTCCTAAGAAAGTCATGGGTGTATGTCCTAGGAACCAGTGACATCACCAGGAATCTTCCCTTATATAGCCAATGGCAGATCACGAAGTTATCACAGTTTTATTTTTTTTTTAATAAAATAGACATTTTTATTTTTTTTAATAAAGGACTTGTCAAACATTTGGGTGTCTTTATTCTAGGTTTTTTTTTTGTGTGAATGAGTTTTGTACCCCATACTCTTTAACCTGGGAGGGCTGGTATCTGTCCAGTTTTGTGTGTGTGTGGAAATCCCCCTTAAATTCCATATTGGACCCAATTTTTAATTTGATAGATTGACAGACCTGAACCTTGTAGCTCTCCCCATTGTGTCTTTTCCCCTATGCTAGCATTGTGTCCACAGTAGCATTTGCGTAGGTAGAGCAGAGTAGGGACTGGCCAGAGAGGGATTACATTGACGCATAGTCTGCTTGAAAGGGTATATAACAGTGTGCAGAGGGTCCTTCAGAATTTCTAGTGTCCTAGGAACCAGTGACATCACCAGGAATCTTCCCTTATATAGCCAATGACAGATCACGGAGTTGTCACGGTTTTATTTATTTTTTTAATAAAATAGACATTTTTATTTTTTTTTAATAAAGGACATGTCAAACATTTGGGTGTCTTTATTCTAGGTTTTTTTTTGTGAAGAGTTGCTGTACCCCATTCTCTTTAACCTGGGAGGGCTGGTATCTGTCCAGTTTTGTGTGTGTGGAAATCCCCCTTAAATTCCATATTGGACCCAATTTTTTAATTTGATAGATTCAGCCCCCATTGATATCAGTAGGGTTTGGGTTTGGCATCCGAACTTCCTTGAAGTTCACCAAACAGCGCTCAAACCGATCATGGGCAGTTCAGCTCATTACTACGTCTAACCCTGATCTCCTTCTCTTGCAGATTCCTTCTGTTCTCAATAGCAGAAATAGCACTGCCCACTGCCCGAGGGCCCGGGGTCAGTAGGGGGCCCCATGAGATGCCCTGGTACATTTTCATAGGCTTTTTTTGAGTGTGGGCAAGGACACAGGGGCCCCATGATCCCCTATTGCCCGGGGGCCCCATGAGCTGTCAGTCCGCCCCTGTCCAGAAGGTAGTAAAACATCATGCTATTTGATGCCTGTCCACCAAAGTGGTCTTACGCAATAACAATGTAGTGGTGCAGAACATCTTTCTTCCACATATAGAATTCTTCATGGTGCAAGCACAGAAACTAGTATGTAGAGAACCGTGGTACCCACATGTGGCATCACAGAGTCCAATATCTCTGGTAGATCACAAGAGCATCTTTCTACAAGTACTTACTCTCTCATTTAGGAAGGGAGCCGCCCGCTTTCCCCCAGTGATCGGTGAAGTGTGTACCAATCACTTGCTGCTGCAATTCTCTTCAATTCAGGACAACCTCCTTGTTCCAAAAACATTTTTTGACACCAGAAGAACATGTGCAACAACACACTTGGGTTTTTGGGTTTAGATACACTTCACAGTACCCTTTGCCTAAGGTGAGATGATGCGACCAGTCTGCTGCAGGAATGACGATCTAACACAGTTGGTCCACCATGTTGGCGGGTGGTGGGTTTCCTCACGTGTGGCCATGGCGAGCAGCCGAACTGTGCCCCCAATGTAACACTAACCTTCTGGGTAATACAGGACCTTTTGCCCATGGCTCCTCTTATGTATGGGTGGCAGATAGAGACCAACCGGCTCGTCCACTCTTCTGGCTGTGGGGCTTTGCCCCCTCATTTCCAGGGGTTCCAGACGCTGGTCTACCTTTTCCAGGCCAGCAGCCAAGGGACACCAGTAGAATTCACTCTCACTCTCTTCAGAACAACCTTCTGACTGAATAAAGGCACCATGAAGCTGGATGTGGTTAATGTTCTTTGGCTGAAGGCCTCAATCACTCACACGGCTTCAACGGGTCCTAGACCCCAACACAATTCTGATAACAACTCAGACTCTTGGTCTTTGCCCTACCGATCCCTGCAGAAAGTCACTCACTTGCTGTAGGCCTGATGTTCCTCCTGGGCAAAGGAGAGGGCCAGAGTCTGCCTCATCTTGTACCCTCTCCCAGGGTGAGGAGACATCTTAAGGGGAAGCTACTCTGTCACCTGCCTATAACCAGAGCGGACTTTTATAATAATTGGGTAAGAAATCCAACACATTTCGGGGTTCAAACACTCCCTTCGTCGAGGCTTAAAGATTTTGGTCTGAAGCTTCATGCTGCAGTTATTACCAATTCGAACACTTAATGTTGTGTCTATAAACATTTTCATATCCCCCCCCCAAGTCCAGACATTTCTGAAGATACACAATACATAAGCCCTGATATTGGGGGAGTATAAACCTGCTGGATCTCTTATCCTAATATTTATACAATAAAACTCCTAACACGATTCAAGTGGCGCCCTCACTGCTTTCCCCGTATCTGGATGACCCTTTAATAGATCCTCTTGGGCCACATAATGTGCCGGAATTGGGGAATTCATTGGGAAAATTGCAAAAATATCTTCACAATAAGCCCCCCGCCCCACCCCATTCCCCATCAGTATATTTCCAGCAGAACCTCTCAGATTTTCCAAAACTTCTCCTGCAAATTAATTCTGCCTTTGGAGTGAGCGGGGCGGAATGCAGGTCTGCCGGATAAATGTGACTGCGGAGAGATAAGCGGAGGAAATTGGTCAAGGGAAGCGGGGATAGAAAAATCTAAAATCTGCCACACGCAGAGAAGGCTGTTTATCCGGAAGGTTCCATCGCCTGTGTCCCTCTCCTGAGATTCAGGTGTTGCTGCGGCTGAGTCACGGGGGACTCGGGGAACAAAGGTAAACAGAACGAGCGATGTGCCGCTCTCTCAGCTGCTTAATATAGAAAAAGAGAGCGCGAGATCTGCGACCGCCATGAGGAAATATTACAGATGCGTAATACATGGCTCTGTGCAGCCACTCCGGATGCCCCTTATCTCACCGCAACAGCCACTTATTGTGTATGTAAATCCCGAAAGCAGCAAAGCAGCAGAAATGTAGCAAGGCAAGCAGAGATAATGCGACGGGAAGAGCCGCTATGAATATATATATCTATATATATACTGTACATTATGTGGACACATATAGATCCCCTCATCGATCACACTGCAACATTGTTACACCTGTCCTCCCCATCTGCTCCATACAGATAACACAGATAATTAGACTTTTATTTTCTTTTACTGCCTGATTATATGGGAGCCAATCCAGTGCAGATGGCTTCTCTGACCTCCATTAATGTTCAATCCGACCTGCGGCCTTCCCTTCATGGAGAGTTCACTTCTATCCTCCTCCGCGCTCTCTCCTCATCCCGGTCACAGCGCCATTTGTTCAGCCTAACCCCGCCCTCCTCTTTAGTCTTGCTCAGTTGTACCGGCTCCTCCCCTCCAGTCTTGCACAGGTGTACCAGCTCCTCCCCTTCAGTCTTGCACAGGTGTACCGGCTCCTCCCCTTCAGTCTTGCACAGGTGTACCGGCTCCTCCCCTTCAGTCTTTCACAGGTGTACCGGCTCCTCCCCTCCAGTCTTGTACAGGTGTACCAGCTCCTCCCCTCCAGTCTTGCACAGGTGTACCGGCTCCTCCCCTTCAGTCTTGCACAGGTGTACCAGTCCTCCCCTTCAGTCTTGAACAGGTATACCGGCTCCTCCCCTTCAGTCTGGCACATGTGTACCAGCTCCTCCCCTCCAGTCTTGCACAGGTGTACCGGCTCCTCCCCTCCAGTCTTGCACAGGTGTACCGGCTCCTGCCCTTCAACCTTGCACAGGTGTACTGGTTCCTCCCCTTCAGTCTTGAACAGGTGTACTGGCTCCTCCCCTTCCGTCTTGCTCAGGTGTACTGGCTCCTCCCCTCCAGTCTGGCACAGGTGTACCGGCTCCTCCCCTCCAGCCTTGCACAGGTGTACCGGCTCCTCCCCTTCAGTCTTGCACAGGTGTACCGGCTCCTCCCCTGCAGTCTTGCACAGGTGTACCGGCTCCTCCCCTTCAGTCTTGCACAGGTGTACCGGCTCCTCCCCTTCAGTCTTGCACAGGTGTACCTGCTCCTCCCCTTCAGTCTGGCACAGGTATACCAGCTCCTCCCCTTCAGTCTGGCACAGGTATACCAGCTCTTCCCCTTCAGTCTAGCACAGGTGTATCGGCTCCTCCCCTTCAGTCTGGCACAGGTGTCCCGGCTCCTCCCACAGACTGAAATGGCTTTCTCTGATATAACTGCACACTGGGAGCTTCTCACAATGTGCATTAGAAGCTGCAGTAAGTCAGATAGAGCTCCGCCCCATTTCCTGGCTGGGGGACATCCAGCACCATCTAACCCTTTCCTCCCTAGACGTGTCCTTTACTCATTGGATTCAGTTCCTTCAGCCATGAAGGCTCAGCATCTCACACGGGTGTTACCTATGTAAATACAGCCTGCCTAGAACTCCCACCCCCCCAGACTGACACCCACCCATCAAAGCCTTTTGATATTTGCATAACTCCTCCCACTGCTTGCTTTAGAGCTGTGGGCTCTTGGGAGGAGCACTGAGGCAGAGTGCTGGGGTGTTTTCAGGACGCGATGTACAGCACCATGCTGGCTCCTCCCACCGGCCACTATCTGCCTGCATTGCATATAGAAGCACCCAGTGATGACATCACTGCTTATAAAATAAGGTATGTAATGAAAAAAAGGTGAAATGAACAGAAAAGTAGAGCTAAGGGTGAGCTCTAAGAATGGGGGGGGGGGGGTGGAGAGGGCAGAGGTGAGGGGGCAGGAGGAGGAAGGGTGAGCTGATAGATATATTTAGATACATTGTAATTCATAGGTTGGGGTAATCATAGAATGGCGTCATGGTGGGAAAGGAAGAGAATGGTGGGGTATGGAGGCACCATGGGTACTTGGGGGACAGGATGGGCAGGAGAGGACTGGGGGTTGGAGGATTTGGGGGGCAAAAAAGAGGGGGGTGGAGAAGGCACAGGTGAGGGGGCAGGAGGAGGAAGGGTGGGATAGAATATTTAGCATTGGGGGTAATCATAGAATGGCGTCATGGTGGGAAAGGAAGAGTATGGAGGCACCATGGGTACTTGGGGGACAGGATGGGCAGAGAGGACTGGGGGTGAGAGATCTGGGGGGCAAAAAAGTTGGAGTGGCACAGTGGGGGCAGGGAGAGGAAGGGTGGGATGATGCTGGGGAGGAGTATGTTGGGCAGGAATGAGAGTCTAGTTGGGTGAAAGTGGAGAGAGTGTGATTGCTGGATATTGGAGGAGTCCATGCAGCCAGGGCCAGGCCAGGGGTTAGGCAGAAGAGGTAGCTGCCTTGGGCACCTCAGAAGGAGGGGGGGAGGGCAGGACATGAACTCTAAGATGCTGCAACTCATAGGGTGGGGGTAGGGAGCACAGATTGGTCTTCTCCCATTGGGTACTGAAGGACCTTGTGCCAGAAGTGCATGCAGGGGACATCCTTGGGACCCCTATAGCATTTCTATCTCTTTGATAAAGTCGAGTTGCATTTTTTCGGCATTCATTTGTATCTAAAGAGCTCCTTTAAATGGTTCATGTTTGAGGCGTCTGCGCTCGGCTGCACTCTCCGAATGATGGTTCAGCAGAACGAGCCGCAATTCCCCATTTATATACAACAATAGAAGACTCGCGGAGATTAGACGCGCGATTAATCAGCTGATCCGGGTTTGTGATGAACTCGTCAGCAGCGCAGCTATTAGCAGCCTGCCTGGGGTGTGAGGAAGCAACCGGGGGGATTCTGCCCATCTAAATGTGCCTTTCCTGATCCATCAACATTGGACGCTTGATTCTCCTATCCCTTCCAGCAGCTGCCCCCGCGCGCCAGCTGGGACCTCTGGGAGTTGTAGTTCCTCGGTGGAGATGAGCAAACATAAGAATCTTCATTATCCCCAAATACCCCAAAATATACCCCAAAATGTCTGCAAATTTCTGGAGAGTTCAGGGAAACTTGCCATTTTTTCAACATGCTTTGGAGTCAATGGGGAAGGTGGAATGAAGGTGTTTTTTTTCTATTCTATTCTTTTCTATTCCTTTATTTTCTATTCTATTCCTATATATTTGATTCTATTCTACTCTTTTCTATTCTATTTTATTTTCTTATATTCTATTTTTATATTCTGGTTTATTCTATTCTATTTTCTTCTGTTCTATTCTTTTTGAAATTCAAATTTCCAAAAGAATAGAATAGAAGCAAACAGAATAGAATATAAAGAGGGAAAATAGAAGAAAACATAATGAAATAGAAAAGAATAAAAAAAAAAAACAGAATAGAATAAATAGAATAGTTTTCTTCTATTCTATTCTTTTCTAAATTCAAATCTCAGAAGCCGGCTATATTCTTTCTATGTTATTCTATTGTTTATTTAACTTCAAATGTGAAGCCAACTTGTATTCATCCAGAAATGGTTACCATTGCAGAGGTTTTCAGCGTCAGTCATGTGCAGAATAGAGGAGTTCGTTTTCATTCGGATCGATTTGTTAAGCTACTAATTTCATTTAATTGCATTCATAACAACATTAATTGAATTGTTTTGTTTATTCGTTTTCCATCGGATTCAACTTTTTGTCATCAGATTTGAAGTTTTATAAAACCGCGCATGTCACATAATCAACCAATACTTAACCCCTCACCTACCGGACACTTCTACCCCCTTCCTGCCTACCGAACACTTCTACCCCCTTCCTGCCTACCGAACACTTCTACCCCCTTCCTGCCTACCGGACACTTCTACCCCCTTCCTGCCTACCGAACACTTCTACCCCCTTCCTGCCTACCGGGCACTTCCTACCTACAGGACACTTCTACCCCCTTCCTGCCTACAGGACACTTCTACCCCCTTCCTGCCTACAGAGCACTTCTACCCCCTTCCTGCCCACCGGGCACTTCTACCCCCTTCCTGCCCACCGGGCACTTCTACCCCCTTCCTGCCTACCGGGCACTTCTACCCCCCCCTTCCTGCCTACAGAGCTCTTCTACCCCCTTCCTGCCCACCGGGCACTTCTACCCCCTTCCTGCCTACCGAACACTTCTACCCCCTTCTGCCTACCGGCACTTCTACCCCCCTTCCTGCCTACCGAACACTTCTACCCCCTTCCCTGCCTACCGGGGCACTTCTACCCCCCTTCCTGCCTACCGGACACTTCTACCCCCTTCCTGCCTACAGAGCACTTCTACCCCCCTTCCTGCCTACCGGGCACTTCTACCCCCTTCCTGCCTACAGGGCACTTCTACCCCCTTCCTGCCCACCGGGCACTTCTACCCCCTTCCTGCCTACAGGACACTTCTACCCCCTTCCTGCCTACAGAGCACTTCTACCCCCTTCCCGCCTACCGGGCACTTCTACCCCCTTCCTGCCTACCGAACACTTCTACCCCCTTCCTGCCTACCGGGCACTTCTACCCCCTTCCTGCCTACCGGGCACTTCTACCCCCTTCCTGCCTACCGGGCACTTCTACCCCCTTCCTGCCTACCGGACACTTCTACCCCCTTCCTGCCTACAGAGCACTTCTACCCCCTTCCTGCCTACCGGCACTTCTACCCCCCTTTCCTGCCTACAGGGCACTTCTACCCCCTTCCTGCCTACAGGACACTTCTACCCCCCTTCCTGCCTACAGGGCACTTCTACCCCCTTCCCTGCCTACCGGGCACTTCTACCCCCCCTTCCTGCCTACAGGGCACTTCTACCCCCTTCCTGCCTACAGGACACTTCTACCCCCCTTCCTGCCTAAGGACACTTCTACCCCCCTTCCTGCCTACCGGACACTTCTACCCCCTTCCTGCCTACAGGACACTTCTACCCTCTTCCTGCCTACCGGACACTTCTACCCCCTTCCTGCCTACAGGACACTTCTACCCCCTTCCTTCCTGCCTACAGGACACTTCTACCCCCTTCCTGCCTACCGGACACTTCTACCCCCCCTTCCTGCCTACAGGACACTTCTACCCCCTTCCTTCCTGCCTACAGGACACTTCTACCCCCTTCCTGCCTACAGGACACTTCTACCCCCTTCCTGCCTACAGGGCACTTCTACCCCCTTCCTGCCTACAGGACACTTCTACCCCCTTCCTGCCTACAGGGCACTTCTACCCCCTTCCTGCCTACAGGACACTTCTACCCCCTTCCTGCCTACAGGACACTTCTACCCCCTTCCTGCCTACCGGACGCTTCTACCCCCCTTCCTGCCTACAGGGCACTTCTACCCCCTTCCTGCCTACAGGGCACTTCTACCCCCTTCCTGCCTACCGGGCACTTCTACCCCCTTCCTGCCTACAGGGCACTTCTACCCCCTTCCTGCCTACAGGGCACTTCTACCCCCTTCCTGCCTACAGGACACTTCTACCCCCTTCCTGCCTACAGGGCACTTCTACCCCCTTCCTGCCTACAGGGCACTTCTACCCCCCTTCCTGCCTACAGGGCACTTCTACCCCCCTTCCTGCCTACAGGGCACTTCTACCCCCCTTCCTGCCTACAGGACACTTCTACCCCCTTCCTGCCTACAGGACACTTCTACCCCCTTCCTGCCTACAGGGCACTTCTACCCCCTTCCTGCCTACAGGGCACTTCTACCCCCTTCCTGCCTACAGGGCACTTCTACCCCCTTCCTGCCTACCGGGCACTTCTACCCCCTTCCTGCCTACAGGACACTTCTACCCCCTTCCTGCCTACCGGGCACTTCTACCCCCTTCCTGCCTACAGGGCACTTCTACCCCCTTCCTGCCTACAGGGCACTTCTACCCCCCCCCTGCCTACAGGACACTTCTACCCCCTTCCTGCCTACAGGGCACTTCTACCCCCTTCCTGCCTACAGGGCACTTCTACCCCCTTCCTGCCTACAGGGCACTTCTACCCCCTTCCTGCCTACCGGGCACTTCTACCCCCTTCCTGCCTACAGGACACTTCTACCCCCTTCCCCCCTTCCTGCCTACCGGGCACTTCTACCCCCTTCCTGCCTACAGGACACTTCTACCCCCTTCCTGCCTACAGGACACTTCTACTCCCTTCCTGCCTACAGGGCACTTCTACCCCCTTCCTGCCCCCCGGGCGCTTCTACCCCCCCTTCCTGCCTACAGGGCAACTTCTACCCCCTTCCTGCCTACAGGGCACTTCTACCCCCTTCCTGCCTACCG